TATTTATTTTAAAAACCAATACACAACTTTATAAAATGATGAAAGCAAAATAGAATGCTCACAATTGTTCACCTCAGTAGTTTTAGCTCCCAGTACCCAATAATTATTTGTTGTTCTTGAATAAGCATTAAAATTAGAAATGAATTCATCTATTTTCTGCTTTATTGAAATGATATATAATTTCCATAGTGAAAAAATATAAGTACTGTATAAAAATAAAGAAGACTGATTTGACAAGGTGAAAGATTAATACGATCTGAAGAGAAACCAGAGTATGTGAAACCGAATTGACAAACCAAAAACAATTGCATGGGGAAGGGGCTTTAATACTGCTCACAGAAAACCATCAATAATAATTCATGATTATCAATAGGAAAATCATGTCATTTCAAGTAGTATGTCTATGGCCATACCACCCTGAAAGCGCCTCATCTCATCTGAACTAAGGAATTTGAAGTCACTTCTAAAAATTGAATTATTTTTGATGCAAATGATAAGGCTTATCTATCAATAACACTTCAGCATTTCTGATGACTCTGAAACTTATAACTGACTGGGGCATTTACTGTTTCTTTCTTCACCTTCACCTTTGAATTTTATCCATAAGATCTTTGCGTGTTTGAATTTTCTGTACAATAAGGAATAATTTCTTCTCTTATTCAGTCCACTGTATCAGGCAGTTATACTGCTTTTGTCTTTCTTTAGCTATCCATGTAAGTCGAGTCTGATGGGCAACTCCATTTACTTTTTCCTTCTGCAAGGGCTCTATCTTGGGTCTTTTAAAAACTCTGCCAACTAGTTCTGGGGCTGTCTGCAGGTGAGTGGCAATATCAAACTGTTCAACTTTTTTGGTGTCAAAAAAGAGCACATCCTTATTCTGTTGCTTTCCCTGGAAATCTAGTAGGTGGAGCTCCCATTTTAGCCTTTCAATTTCCTTAGCTTCTGAAGCCCTTTTTATTTCTATATACTTGACATCTCTCATTAGTTGTAGCTGTTCTGGAGTTACTTCTTCCTTATTGTCCTTAACAACATGAACTCCATCCTGGAGCTTAACCTGAGTCATTTTATAGTAGAATTCACTGGGATTCTTTTCAAGAGCCTTCTTTTGAAGAGCTTTGAGGAACTCTTGTTTTTTCATGATAGTCATCTGCATGAAGTTGGTAATCTTTCTTTTTCTTCAGCAGACCCAGATGTTTTCAAAAGTCAGGCTGGCTTTGTTTTTGGTGTTCTCGCTGCCCACACTTACCCTGCCTACACTTAGCGGCCATGTCTGCTGGCTGGGTGCTATAGAAGCTTGCTCACTGCAGAACGCTGGATCCTCAGTACCTCATTCTTTCTTCTTCTTCTTCTTCTTCTTCTTCTTCTTCTTCTTCTTCTTCTTCTTCTTCTTCTTCTTCTTCTTCTTCTTCTTCTTCTTCTTCT